GGACAGGCTACAGGTCACAATTTTAATATAGGTTTATTGTCCAAAGATGTCTGTTTCTTTCGATATTGACATGTATCGGACTGTAACTTTATGGATTATGGCCCCTGATTGTACAAAAAATCACGTTTTTAGCTTGTGGACACTCCAGAGGTCACAAGTCTTATCCGATTTTGATGAAACTTAAAACGTATGTTTACAACCCAAACATCTCGGTTTCTTTCGAAACTATTCAAATATATCATGGTTACACCCTAATGATGGTTGAATTCGAATTTTGTGAAAATGGACGCTCCTTGTGCGATAATAGTGGAAAAGTATGTAATGTTTTAAAGAGGTCACAGTTTTTATCCGATATTGATGAAACTTGAATAATATGTTTATATCCAAAGGATCTCTGTTCCAGTAGATATTCACATATATCGAACCATAGTTTCCTGAATTATGTCCCCTGATTGTACAAAAAACACGTTTTTAGCTTGTGGACCCTCTTGAGGTCATAAAGACGCTCTAAAGGCTAAAGTTATAATCCAATTGACTTATACAAGAGGGGGGTTGGATGGCCGAATGGTTAGCATGTGCCCGCTGTATCAGAAAGCCTGTCATTGAGTCAACTGGTGTGGTTTCGAATCCCCGGTCGTACGTGACAAGGAGTAGGGTCGCCTGTCCAACCTTGTTGGTTTTCTTCGGGTCCTCCGATTTCCCCCCACTGCTAAAGACCCCTATGCGCAAGTGAATTATTGAAATAAAATTAAACCATGTTAGTCCCGAAATGACCTAGTTTGTGTCGAGTGGACGTTTAACCCCATTTCTCTCTCTCTCTCTCTCTCTTATACAAGATGTAAGTGTTATGGACCACTAAAGTAGTTACTTTGTGGTAATGCGATCTACATTTTCAAAGCGGTGTTTCTTATAATGTGAAAGCCGCCATGACACCGGCCAGATGAAATAAGTTCGGTAGGCGAAAAATTACTCGTAGCAGTTTGGTTTCATATCATATAATTATGCGGTAAGGCTTCACCTTTATTTCAATGGGAATTGGTTTATTATATGTTAAGCTATGTGCAGTACAGTTTTGGGCCAGTTTATGTATAAATTAAGGGAGCTGTAGGTCAGTAACCTTTTTGTAGTCATTTGACTAAAAAACTTACGCAAAGGAACTCCGCAGGACGAGCTACTACTGTGGCTGGAGTAAGGCGGAAGACATCAGTAGTGGAACCATCTCTACCCAACCAGTAGCCTAGTGGGTTTTTGTCGGGTTCTCCATATTGACTGACTGAGATACACATAACTACCGGTAACATCGATCGCACAAAAAGGTTACGGAATATGCGTTGGGAGGATTACAAAATGAAATGCGGTTTTACGTCCTACTTTTCTGCACCAACTGCAGGTGATACTGAAGACGAGCATACGACATGCATTGTGCTATGTGGGAAATTTTATCCGGATATCAAATCACACGGCCTACTCTTATTCAACTACTCAACTGTCAATCAAGGGTTCTTTTACTTGATTACCAACGTGTACGGCTAGACACTGTCTGCATCACTGACAAGTGGAAACCGCGATTGGAAATCCCAAGAAACTTCCTCGGCCAGCACCTAGATCGGATACCCTGATTAATGAACCAGCGTCTTACACCGTGGCTCGTTGGGAGGATTACGTCTCCTCACCCACAAACGTATAAATGCATAATTATATGACGGATTTATCATGTTCTTTGGCGTGAATGTGTGTGAATTTCACAAAATGGTATATCTATACTTACACAATTCGAGAGTCGGCCGTCGTAACCCTAAAATACCGTGCACAAATGCATGTAATACGCATTTAGGGTGTGTGCCGATTACAAAATTGCCATGTTAAACGCGTAAGGTGTGTGGGGATAATATAATTGCCATAATATATTAACTGGCTGCTACAGTTATCTTGTTTGGTGTAAGTTTTCCATACCGATCGATCTGTTATTCCCCAAAAAACCCAAATCATGGGCGCAAATATATGTACTACACATAGGACGTGTGGCGATTGAATATTACTTGCCTGCCACAATTACTTTAATTTGTGTGAATTTTCCATACCGATCCATCTGTACTTGACATATTACTATATTAATGTCGGCCATAGTAATCCTGATAATAATAATAATGATATCGTTTATTTGTAAAGCGCGTTAATACAGAACAAAAACAGTTTCTAAGGCGCTGTTGGTTATATTCACTGATTATTTACAGATCAGGGTTTTGAAACAAGAATGTTTTGAGTTGAGATTTAAAATGGCCCACAGACGGTAATTGTTTCATTGACTGTGGTAGTCATTCCAAAGAAAAGGGCTAGTATAAGAAAGGGTACGTTTTCCAAGTTGTAAGTTAATAGCTGGAGATTTTAGAATATGTTTTTGCTGAGAACGAAGATTTCTGCTGGTGGTATAGGGTTCTACAAGACTTTTTATATGAGATGGAGCTTGGCCGTTTAACGCTTTGCAGATAAAGAGGAGTAAATTGAACTTAATTCTTTGCTGAATTGGGAACCAATGTAGAGATTGCAATACCGTGGAGATGTGTTGCTATTTCTAGTTTTAGTGAGGCACCGAGCTGCTGAATTTTGAACATGACGTAGTTTGTTAATCTGATAGTCTGGTAAGCCGTATAGTAAACCATTTTGGTAACCTAGTTTAGTTGAGATGTATGCGTGAATGAGTTCTCCTTTATTTTCATAATTGGGATAGCGTTGGATCTTTCAAATTCGATGTATATGATAGAAGGTGGTGGAGCAAATACTTTGTATGTGATCGTTCAACGATTGGTTCGAGTCTAATACAGCACCAATATTTCGAGAGTTATAGGATCCTGTGATCACTTCTTTATCAAAATTAACTAGCGTTTGATCAATTTTTCAGAGTTGTTAGTTAGTTACAACGACTAGATTTTCTGTTTTATTTGGATTTAATTTCAAAAAATGTTCTGTCATCAACCAAGAATTTCCGTGGGACAAAGTTCTATATTTTGTATCGTGGAATGTTGAGAGTCTGTCTCAAATTCAATATAAAGTTGGGAGTCGTCTGCAAACACATGAATATTTAGCCCATAGCCTTCAGCAATCTTAATGGTAGACTTTGTGAAGATGATAAAAAGTACAGGTCCGAGTACAGAACCTTGCGGTACCTCACAAGGCATTATATTATCATCGGATGTTGAATCTCTAATTCTGACAGCTTGGGTGCGATTGGTTAGATATGACTTAGCCCAGTTAAAGACAGAACCACGCAAGCTAATTTCACACCATAATCTTCGGTATCGAGCATATCAAATGCGGCTGAGCGATCTATATGTATATAAGATCTAAGAGTACCAAGATAACACATTTCTGTTGATCTAAAGCTCGGTAGATATCGTTGGTGATTTTGAGTAAAGCAGTTTCTGTGCTGTGGTATTGTTTGTAAGCAGATTGTAATGGATTTTGAAGGTTATTGGAATAAATATGATCATTTAATTGATTTAGAACACACTTTTCTAGCAGTTTTGAAATGTAAGATAGATTACTGACTGGACGGTAATTCGACAGAATATCTGGATCCATGTTGGATTTCTTTAATAATGGTTTAACAATGGCTTTTCCATTAAATATTAATGTCTGTTACAATTATTTTAATTTGTGTAAATTTTCCATATCGATCAATCTGTACATGACATATACTAAGCAGCAAACGAAACGTCGGGTTGGTATGTTAATCTGAATAGACGCATTGCATAAAATATGTCAAATGTTTTTATTATTTGTGACCACATCTCCAACCTTACCTGAGCAATAAGGCTCCTTCTCAAACACGGAATTGAACCCAGGAAATATTCTCAAAAACGCAACCTGACTTCTGAGATGGTAATGTGTTCTCCATGATTTTCAAGTAACTCATGCTGCACGTGCTGTTCACCGGGACCAGTCCTATAAAATGCACCCCATACCTGGTTGAATCATTCACACTACAACGTCAGCAGCATGCCACGACTCACGACAGCTCAGAGGGACCAGGCGCTTGGAAGACTCGACGCTCGCCACACTGCCCAAGCCGTTGCCAATCACTTCCAGGTCAATGTTCGGACCATCTACAGGCTTCAGCAACGCTTTCGAGCCACCAACACCACGGGTTACCACAAGGCCTAAAGACTGCCATGTTCTGCGACAGCAATTGTAGAATCCCTTCACACAGGCATCTGAGACAGCATGTCAGACAGTGGGAACACACGGAAGACCCATTAGTACCGATACAGTGCGCCGACGTCTTAACAGAGAGAACATCCATTGCCGTAGACCTTACCGTGGACCGATCCCCATCCCACGCCATCGACGTGAACGTCTACAGTTTACCCAACAACACCAGAACTGGTGGAGAACGTTTTTTTTTCACAGATAAGAGTCGGTATTGCTATCAACTGCGGATGGCAGGACAAGAATATGCCGTTGAGGTGGCCAGTGTTATTCTGACCAATGTGTCATGTGTCATGCTTTGATCCATTTAGTAAGTCGTTTTCTAGAATGATTTAATTAAAGTGCCTCTCTGATTTTGAAATCGTGCTGACATTTATCAAATTGCCATTGAATATTAATTGTCTGCTACAATTATTTTAATTTATGTGAATTTTTCATATCTATTTTCCTTCAAAATAGCAAGTTTTCTCAATTTATGAAGAATTACAACAAGAAATATAATATCGACATCCTTTTATTAATCAATCAATAAATTATAGCTGATAAAATTAACAAATTATTCACACCATAATTGATAAAATGACAATAAACTATCTACAATATAGTTAACAAAATAAAATCGCCAATAAATCAATCACACTATAGTTGATAAAATAAACAATATATTAATTTCACTACAGTTGTTAAAATGAGCAAAATAAATTATTTTCACTATAGTTGATAAAATGAGCAAATCATTATTCACAGTATAATCAATAAAATGAGAAATAAATTATTCACAATATAGTTCATATGAACAATAAGTTATTTTAACTAATGAGCAATACGCCATGTACACTATAGTTGATTAAATGAAAAAATTATACATACAGTCAATAAGCTGATAAACACTTCATAACACTGAATAAACTATGTATCAATGCACTCAATATGTTTATAACACTTTATCAATACAGTCAATATTGTGATCAACAAAATTTAACAATACACTTGATACACTATAGTTGATAAAATGAACATATTATTCACACTATAGTTAAGAAAATAAACATAAAATTATTTACAGTAATATTGATAAAAGTTTGTAATACTATATCAATACAGTCTATAAGCTGATAAACAAACATTTCTTAACACTAAATAAATTTTATCATCCAAATACATTCTACAGTAGATATCGCTTGTGTGATATATTTCATAATCTACTGCGATATCTCCTAAGGAGATATCGCTTTACATGAATTTGATTGGTCAGTTGAAAAGGAACTACTTTTTTTATTTTCAAAGAACAGTTCATTTCTTATTAAACGTAACTTTTTTTTATTATTAAAAATGAACTATTGTTATTCAATTGAACTTGATGGAAACACTGGGTCAATATAAAAGACTTTGCAATGGTTGAATTGCTGTCAAAAATGATGTATCACTACGCCGTAATGTTCAGTAAAAGTGAAATCTACAGCAAAGAATTATATTTATCTATTTGTGGATGTAAGAAGGGATTGGGTGATACATTAAAACACCTACTCGTCTTTTTTTATATCAAAAAATATCAACACTCGTTGATAAAGTAAAAAAAACTCGGCAGAGCCTTGTTAAATTACCTTATTAACTTGTGTCGGTGGAGTTAACGCCTGTCAATCAAACGATCGGCCATTCTCTGAGATGGCGAAGAGAGAGTTGACACCTATTTCTAGTCAAAAATTACAATGGTGATAACTTTGTTCAGAATAAAGTAGTTTGACTGAAATTTTCAATATAGTCCTCTTTCATCATCTATTTTTGGACTTTTACAGCAAGAATGGCCAACTCTCTATTAAAATCTCCCATAATGTATCTTTAAGACACATAATTTTAAAAGAAGGGATTGGGTGATAAATAAAATCACCTACTCGTCTTTTTTTATATCAAAAAATATCAACACTCGTTGATAAAGTAAAAAAAAACTCGGCAGAGCCTTGTTTTTTGTTACTTTATCAACTTGTGTTGATATTTTTTGATATTAAAAAAGACTGATAAGAGATTCTCTATATGTATCAATGCACTCAACAAGTTTATAACACTTTATCTAATGCAGTCAATATGGTGATCAACAAAAGTTATCAATACAATCGATAAGTTGATAAAAAATTATTTTTCAGTACACTAAATATGTTTTTTCACCCAATTCTTTATCAATAGCCTACACTCAATATGTTGATAAACAGTACACTCAATATGTTGATAAACAATACACTCCATATGTTGATAAACAGACTATTTATCAATACACTCGGTAAATGAACTATTAGTCAACACATGTACACATTCTATATCTTTATCATTATCTCCGTCATCATCATCTTCATAATAGTCAAACAAAGTGCTTTCTGTGAAATCATCCGCAAGAACAATTTTCCGAACATGTTTTATATTTTTGCATATTATCACTTTAGGCATTAAACAAACCTGTTCTGTTTGTAAACTGTGAGACGATGTTGAGGCATTAGCAGCTCCTTCAGATTTCTAGTAATCAGTTAATTTGTCCAGTTGAAGTAGCTCGACTTCTTCTCAGAGTGTATCATAGTAATAATTTATTAACGGGTGTAGAGAATTAGATGTTACACTGTATTCAAATGTATCTGTTTTTTGCTGAAGATTTCCCTTCTGGTATTTGTTGTGTTGTTAGGTAAGTTTAGTGATCTTTAGTTAATACTGATTTTCTTCAGTTGCCTTCCAGCCTTGACTCCTGTAAAAAACAAATAGTATTTTTGAAGAAAAAGTAAGTAAGATAATAATAACCAAGGTGTGTATTAAGATAAAAGATAAGGTACCAAATATATGAGAAGTGAGGGTATTAAGTGACCATTTAGCATTTCAAAGCAGGACGACAGGATTTCAACTAAACAGGACGATAGGATTTCAAAGAACTTAAAAAATATTTTAACATACATTATGCACGAGCTAAATCTGATTATTACAAGTCTTTATTTAGACTTCAGATGTCATAGAAATTATAAATTAGATCTTTATTTACACAACAAGCACAAAATCAACTCTGTAGACCCACGGATGGCTTGGATTTAAACAGGATTTCATTGATTGATTAAATTTTTAAATGGCGTCGTAAGCGGAGATTAAATTTTTAAATGGCGTCGTAAGCGGAGATTAACCGTTAAGTTGACGTCATACTCCCGGAAATTTTAGATCGAGGCTAAATGATAGAGTGTACGAAGCTAGGCCGCTGTTGAGCGATGCCGCATGTCAGTCAATGTGATTGAAAGTTCGATATATACAGCTATAATTATCCTCATTGTTTTGGTCCATTCTTTTCAAACTTTCGCTTCTTATATATATATTAAAAGTCTTATTTTTAATTTGTAGTAAAAATAAATGTGATACGAATTGAATTGTGCAACCCCATCTCAAACCGAATAGGCTAACGGTACCACAGTCATTGAAAATGTTACTTGATAATCAAGATTATGTAGGTGGAGTTAACGCCTGTCAATCAAACGATCGGCCATTCTCGGAGACGGCGAAGAAAGAGTTGACGCCTATTTCTAGTCAAAAATTACAATGGTGATAACTTTGTTCAGAATAAAGTAATTTGACTGAAATTTTCAATATAGTCCTCTTTCATCATCTATTTTTGAACTTTTACAGCAAGAATGGCCAACTCTCTATTAAAATCTCCCATAATGTATCTTTAAGACACATAATTTTAAAAGTATTATTTTGCTCAGTGATACTGATACCCATTTAATCTATTCCTTACTGGTCACTGTGGTGACTAGCTTTGTGATCGTCATTCTACTACAGCTAGGCCTATTCACTTTTGGTCCTACTTTGTTTAATTGAATGTGGTTGTAAGCATTCTAGTTAATTCATGGCTTGGAATAGGCCCAGTTACTGGATCCCACAGAAAATTGTTACCTAGGCTGTGACCTGTGTGTTGACCCAATTACTGGGGCCACGTGTATTGAAAAGATTAAAGATACATTATTGTCATTATGCAAGATATAGATAAAGAGCAGGCCGTTCTTATTATAATAGTTTGAAAATAGATAATGCAAAATGAATATATTGAAAATTTCGTTCAAATTACTCTATTGCAAGCAAAGATATTAGCCTTTGAAGGTTTGACAAGACATGTACAATAATTGCAACCACCGTACTGGTTGTTCGAAGCTAAGTCTCGCTCCTTCATTTCTAAATTAAATCAAAATATGGCTGAACCGTTCTAATCTAGTTAATATCAGAGATATCCGATGGTATCAAGAGTTGATTTTATGCTTGTCATGTAAATAAATGTCTAATTAATAGTTTATATAATATAACATTTCATGTCTAAAGAAAAACCTGCAATAGGCAGATTGAGCTCTTGAATAACGTATGTTTAAGTGATTAATTCTTTGCAACATACAGAATTTTCAATATTGAGACTGATGAAGGTGCGAACCTAAGGCATTGCTTTCCTCCATTGATAATTTTTTTACCTCATCTTTTGACAAATCTAAAATAAATACATTACAGGAGTATTACGATATGAAGAATCCATCATGCCCAATGATAGTGTTATGGACCAGACAAAACAGACATGTAACTAAATTTTGGGTTGAATAACCATTACTGGTGCCATCTTACAGCAGATGGGAACAAATAAAATCTGACCTGTCAAGCATACATTAAACATGTACTATTAGTAAAGAACTACACGATTTTAAAAAACACAAGAAATATCTGTAGTCCTGATGTAGGATGAAAGGATTATAGTAATGTTGTAAACACAAAAAAACTGTAATCCGTAAGCTTATTGAAGAAAAAAAACAATTAAAGATTTTGAACAAGGAATAATTTGAAAATTTCAGTAAAATTACTGCATTCAGTGTAGTCTCTATTTTCATTGCTACTGTTTGTTACGATATACACAAAGTCTTGTACATCCATTTTTAAATTAGATTATTAAATGGCAATTCCGTTTCAATCTGTTCATAATCACAAGGTTGATTATGGGCTTTATTCTGACGTGGTTTCATCTTGTCAGTTGTGCAGGACGAAGGGGGAGGCCTGACAAGGACAACTGTCTAGTCATTCAGATGAGACGAAAAACCGAGGTCCTGTTTATACATTGGCTTGCACGTAAAAGATTCCTTGGCAGTTGGAATTCGATATAAGAGTAGGCCATAGTGCCGCTGCCCGGGCAAAATTTCCCTCAAAGCACACTGTATGGCCTATGCCCTTGTACATTAGCCCAGTATAGAAGAAAAACAATAGAACGTTAAACCCCAATTCATTTCATTTTTGATTATGTGATCAAGGACCGTAACTCTGGCAGTAATTATCAGAAATCGTTGAAAATTAAGACTTCTTCGTCTCATGACCTGCAATGAAATGAAATGGGGTTTAAAGTCCTATATCATGTATCATGACCTTAAACACTATAAATTCAATGTCAATACGATAATAAGGACCATAACTTTCACTGAAAATTTATAGGCTTCTTTGTCTCATGACCTTAAAAACTGTTTATCAATCGGATATTAACTTTAATAGACTTGTGGATGTACAGACGGCCGGACAATAATATGCCCACATTTCAGTTTTGGCGTATAAAAAAAAGTAGTCTATCTGTCCATTCTTGAATTCTGATACACCATCCACTGGCATTGGTTTATTTACATCATATTCGGGAGGTCAGGGGAGAGAGAAATGGGGTTTAACGTCCACTCGACACAAACTAGGTCATTTCGGGTCTAACAAATGGTTTAATTTTATTTCAATAATTTGCATGCACTTAGGGGTCTTTAGCAGTGGGAGGAAAACGGAGGACCCGGAGAAAACCCACGAGGTTGGACAGGCAACCCTACTCCTTGTCACGTACAACCGGGGATTCGAAACCACGCCTGTCGACTGACTCGACTCAATGACAGACTTTATGATACAGCGCGTGCAGGGGAGGTCAGGGATACAGTACAGTGTTCAATAGCTACAATAGGCATAACCATTTGGATTGATATACTCATTTATCAGTTATTGTTGAGAGGAAGTGTGATCTATTCTGAACTCTGAGCTAGGCCTACATCCTCTGTAAAATGAAATGAAATTTTAATAATGTTTCTTAACACCCGAAGCAAGCAAAGGACTGTTTAGTTATCGACTGAAACTTTATTATGAGTACACTTTTAATTCTATAGGTCGATTCAGATTATTCTATGACAATACGAAAGAAAAACATTAATTATATATTACCGTACGGTACCAGGTAATGTGAACAAAAAGTGCTATCAGGTGTTCTAAAAAGAATAAGTACGCCCCCCTGCATATGCTGCACACATACATATGACTTGCTGTTCAGTTCGCTAATTAGCATGAATAGAAAGGCCCAGCCTAGAGTCGCATTATAAATGCTTTTATAGATCAGTATATGCTTTGCCATTGGAATTTGTTAAACCACAAAAACAGGCTATAATGTTTCTGGTTGAATTTTGCATGGAACAGTGCCTAGTTGCTTGGATGGAAAGAAAAATGCGTCCTGCACATAGAACTAAAAGAACCCTACAGACAGAATTCCAAAAAAGAGTAAGCTTACGTAGGCTACATTAGTGTCACTCTGTCCAAAATTTGCCTCATCATAACATATTGATAGACGATAGTGTATGCCTTCTTCATTAGCCCAGAAAGAGCAGAAAAGTAGGATGTTAAACCCCATTTCAGCATTTCATTTCATTTTGTTTCATCATCATATTAATATCTTCAAAATTCATATCATCAAAATCCATATCATCAGAAATGGCATTAGTACCAGTAGGTCTACATAGTTAACATAGGCCTAGTTTAGTAGTTTAGGCTACAAGTACAAGTAGGCTTCAAACCTAGTACGGCCAAATACTAATAGTGCTTGATCTTGATGGCAGTAGGAATATTGTTTAGCACTATCTCACAAAATCTGTCATTGAGCCTAACACGGCGTGCATGGGTCGACTGTCAAGTGAATTTAACAATAGGCCTATTAGTCCCGAAATGATTTGGGCCTAGTTTAATGGTTTGTGTCAAGTGGTCGAGACGAGTGGACTTTAAAGGAGCTAAATCAAGTAAATCGCTAATGTTTGGGACCTAGAAATTGACCCAAATGGGTCGCAACAAATAATAATGTAATCTGATTGTATATAAATAAACTGATTTACATTCAATTGTTTCCGTTTTGACTCTAATTTCAAATCAGTTATCTCCAGCGAAATATGGCATGAGTCTCAACCGAATCGCTATTTCTAGTATCTGGTTATTTTAGTCTATTGCGCATGCTCTCATGGCGTCACCGTTTGATATGAGTATTCAGTTGTGGAATATGTCTAGCCTCGGTCCTTTGTTACAAATGACAATCAAACGTACTATGGCACCGTACACGATTCGTGTACCAATGCAATGGTAAAATATTTATTTTATTTTAAATATTGGTTATCAGAAGCTTACCTTTTCCCGGTGAGATCACAACATCAATGTTGATTTGAATTGACAAATAATTCGTGTTTTCAACGAGTAAGACTTTGGTGGATGATATTGAATTAGACTTAGACTAGAGACTAAGTTAGTTTAGCTAATCTTAGTTAGACTTAATCCCCATCTGCCATCTGGCATCTCTCACTCCCGAGTCCGAGTCTCTCTCTGTCTCTCTAACTATTAAAGCCCAGTCTTTGGATGGGTTTTATCCCCTGTTTAAGTCTGATCTTTTATAAAATAAAGTAAGATACCGGTACCTCGTATTTTGGATTTTCTAAGTTTTAAGTATTAATATTAATATGGCGCTCTTTCCCATCTTGTTGACCTTGGACCTTGTCCAAAAGAGCGCAGGAAAGTAGTTCGAGAGACAGCGTAACCCTAGTAACTCACAATGCGATTCTTGAAGACGATTTCCGTTCATGAAATGAAATGATTGGGGTTTAATGTCCTACTGTTCGGCCCCGACTGGGCTAATGAAGACGGGCATACGCCATACAGTGTGCTATGAAGGAAAATATTGCCCGGGCAGTGGAAATATGGCCTAGGCCTACTCTTATATCGAATTCCAACTGCCAAGGGATCTTTAACGTGCATGCCAATGTATACACGGGACCTCTTTTTTTCGTCGCATCCGAACGACTAGACAACTGTTCTTGTCAGGCCTTCCGTCTTGCACCACTGACAATTAAGGGGAAACCATGTCGAAAAAACCCGATGAAATTCTTGGCCAATATGCAGGGAACGAAGATTCCCGTTCATGGAGAAATGAAATGGGATTTAACAATAACATCATATAGACCCAATGCAGCATGCAGTATGCTATTGGGGTGAGGGGGGGGGGGGTCCCGGTCTTCGGCGGTACTGGGTACGGCGTACTCTTATTTCGATTCAAAACTGAAGGATTCCTCTACGTGTACGCGGGACCTCCTTTCTGTCCCATCTGAACGACTATATACCTTTTCCTTGAGGCACTCCGCCCTGTCCTACTGACAAGGGTAAACTTTGCCTAAAAATCACGACGGATTCACACCGGGAGCAAACTCCAGACCCCCCTCCAGCCTAATAATAAGCAGTACGGTATTTGTGTTGCATATAATCTTTTAGTGTGACCTGTATATTCCAGTTCAATTACCGAATGCTATTAAAACAATTTATTAATTACTGCACTCCATAGTCTTTTACGCTATAGACTAATCTACACCCAGGTTCAACGCTACGGGTTCGATCCCCCGGTAACATACAGTGGCGAGGATCGACGGGCGGTAGGCTATATATTTTAGGCCAAAGTTTTTTGAAAGATTTGTTCTAACTTGGAAGATTGTTCGGGTCGTCATAAGAAGGCAGTCTATACAAATTCTATCTTTTATTCCCATGTATCGGAGATCGAGAAAATAATGATTTATAAATAAGCTAATAGCGGATAGGTCTACTAACTATTACAGCCTTTGTTGGTTGCTAATAGTAGATAACAAAGGCTGCCCTTGTTAGTTGTTACTGTAGCGGCTAACAATTTACCCCCAGAGGCGCAGAGGCACCCTTAGCGCTGCTACGAGCATCTAAAAATGACTAACAACTTTCTACTACTAGCAGGCTAATAATAGGCGGATCGGGTGCATAACCAGTCAAACAATCACCCATTTAATCATATAATTTAGTGGGAAGCCACGGTGGCTCGCTAACCTGTAGATCCCGTGTACGATCCCTGCGTTGACCGAGAAAGTTCATTGAGGTTGATCCATGTCAATGGTGTTGCAAAGAGGGTCTGGCAATGGACAACGCACAGTCGGATGGATGGGACGACACACCAAGGCCCCGTGTAAACATATGCGAGCACGTAAAAGATACCTTGACAGTTGGAATTCGATAAAGTAGGCCACAGAGCCGATGTCCGGGCAAATTTCCCTCATAGTACACTCTATGGCGTTTGCCCGCCTTCATTAGGCCCTTCTAAGAAGAACAGCCATAAAAAAATTATATCTAAAATAAAACAAACAACGAGCGGTTTAACTGCAGCAACTCCTATATACGCTATTGAAGCTGGAATTACCGTGGCTTCTAACACCAGGTATGTCCTCAAATGGTTCCACGCACACTCTTATAAATTGCGTTCATTTCGCGAGGGGCGACCACGAAAGGGCCCTGTGGTGTTATATCCCCACTACCTCCGGTGTCGGGATTGGGTATGTTGCGCGTCTGATGCCGACCATCGCAAATTGCAAAGTCGTCGGGGATCCGGAAAGGCCCCGCGATCGGCACAGTTATTTTGAGTCCAACACCTGTCGCCTAGCCCAGCCGCTACTTTTGATCGCAGGCAAGGGCGATCTGATATAGATAATATATGCCGTTTCCCCTCTCGTTGAGAAACGAAAGGAACAGGCCTGAATTTAGCCTTGAGTATGATTACTGTTCGCTACACAATCCCAGACGAAGAGGGAGATCCTAAGACCAAGATGTCGTTGGGAGATCCCTCGCTAGACGCACAGAAGTAGCTAGATTAGCCGAGATGGTCGACGGGCAAGAAAGGACCTCTGGAACTCCGCGACGAATCGGGATCGCTCCGACACAACAGAGAAGGAGGTGACCGCGGAGATGCTAGTCGAGATCGCAGCTTCTGGTTTGCCGCGAAATGAATTTTCGCACCGCCGACAGCCTCGAACTATAACCAGGCGCCGAGTTTGCCCGGGTCGACCAGGCTCCACCCAATCTTGACGGAAAGTTGCAGAACGCTTAATACCTTTGGGGCTCATCCTCTCATGTCTTCAAAGCTTCCTACCAAACTTGAAAGAAATTTTAAAACCTGTCGAGTTCGAGATGTTTTCGGAAAAAGTATATAACGCTAGCGAATATTCCCCAGTTTTTCGTCACGTCTCTTTCCAGACCATCTGTTTCATTTTGTTTAAATAAATAAAATTAGTGACTTACCATCAAAGTTTACATGGTCACTATCACTATAAAATAAAGACACAACATAAACGGTCATAATTTTAAATAAAAGGGTAATATTAAAAATCTTTATTTTAAATAAGCGTATTATTAAAGGGTAATATTCTTTATTTCAAATTATTATTAAAATTCTTTTTTTTATAAATAAAAGGTAATATTGGTATTCTTTATTTAAAAAAGGTGAGTTTAATATTCTTTATTTTAATTAAAGGTAATGTGGAAATTATTTATTTGTCATATGCAAATATTCTTACCTTTTATCTTGACCTGGAACTGGTGTCGGTGGTCTCTGTGGTATAAAATGAGAAATAGTTTAAAATTGATGTGTTCAATCATTAGTATATAAATATATATATTATCATTCTTAATCCATGACAACTCCGATCAAAGACAACTGTGAGTGTGACCAAGACCAGTCGGGCCAAATAATATACCACTCGGACCATTCTAAAAGGCTGCTCGGACCAATATGTATTCGAAATAATTAAGTGTTGCTGGACCTCCGGATTATTGGCAAACCAACAGGCAACACCAATCGGTCTATATTGCACATTTTCTTTTTTTATTGACTTACATAACGGCCTGCTTTTTGCTTGTGTATATGGAAATTAAAATGCTGAAGACAAGCCCTGTGTCGTAATCAGTAACTCAAACACGAACTATGTGCTAATCCATCTTAAATATGTGCTAATCCATCTTAAATATTTTATATTTTTGATAATCTTCCAGTCGCACCTAGTAGAAGAATCTTTGTCTTTCGATTGTTCAATTTTAGATCGTTGGAATAAGCACAAATATGATTTTTCGGCTTTTGTTGGGGCTTCTTTGGGGATTTTATTGGGGGGTGGGGGTGTGCTGGGACTTCTTTACAGTAATTCGCTAATTGAGATTTTGTCTAGTCGGAGATTTGTTTCCGACCACGTGATCCTACACAGAATTTAAACAATAGTTACTTACACTTATGTTCAGATTTTCTAGCCAATCATCCAAACTGATAAATTCACGTTCGCGTTTAGCTGTTTGCAGTTTATATATATTGATTCCAGGTTCAGGTAACTTTTCACAGTCATAGTCATCTTCCACTCCATTAAATACCACTTTAATGTCTTTTTCATCAGTCGTAGACAGGTCAACTGACGTTTCAATAATATAGTTTCCCCAGAGGTCTCGTACTATAATCCCAGCTTTATAACATATCGTATCACCAACAACCAGATGTACAACGGATGGTCCTTCTTTTATACCATCGGTGCACAAATCAGGAATATTGTAAATACACCAACCATTTGATGTATAATTTATAACACAGTTATTTTTGGATACAACAGGAGTCCGTTTTCTATTATTTATATACAGCGTAAATTCAATATAATTGTACTTATGAACGTTTTTGTCTTTTACCGCGAGGTACAATTTGTCGCCATTTTTAAATACATGGTATGCTTCTTTATTTACGTCAAATCGATATGGCTCATCACTCGATGAATCTGAATCTGAATCCGGTCTTGTTCCAACATCTATCCATATCTTTTCACCATCAACTGTCTCAGAGAACACTGAAAAGGATGAATAGAACAGGTTTAGTTTTGAGTCAGCTGAATAAGTTTTCAAATAAACAATAAACAATAAAAAAAAATTGTTTAGTTTACGTTTCTCCTCTATAAAGTACTACCCACAAATTATAAACAATAACCGCATTTGACCAAACAAAATGAAATTAGAAACAACCAAATAACCCCAAAAGCAAAGAAAAACCACATGATTTACAATAAATGTATGTGATTGGCTGTTTAATATACATAGGCAACCTCATCTAATCTGTCCATTAATAACCTATTATATCATATAATAATCAAATAATGTCCCATTCTATCACATAATAATCGAATAATGACCCATTCAATCACTAATCAATAATAAATAATCACCAAGTCTATCATATAATAAATAAAAAATCACCCAGTCTATCATATAATCAATAAATAATCACCCAGTCTGTGACATAACCAGTCAAACAATCACCCATTTAATCATATAATTTAGTGGGAAGCCACGGTGGCTCGCTAACCTGTAGATCCCGTGTACGATCCCTGCGTTGACCGAGAAAGTTCATTGAGGTTGATCCATGTCAATGGTGTTGCAAAGAGGGTCTGGCAATGGACAACGCACAGTCGGATGGATGGGACGACACACCAAGGCCCCGTGTAAACATATGCGAGGACGTAAAAGATACCTTGACAGTTGGAATTCGATAAAGTAGGCCACAGAGCCGATGTCCGGGCAAATTTCCCTCATAGTACACTCTATGGTAGTCCATGAACCTGTTCATAAATTTCTGATTGCCATGAGAAATATGAGGAATTGATACATTGCTCTGTAAGTTGAATGATACTGTCTATTTTGAGGTTTGTGGATAGTTCTTGGTAAATAGATTCTATTTTCTGCCTTAGCACTTGTATTGCTTCATCCCGTGGTATATTCGTAAACAAATCAACAACATCATAACTAACTAACTGACCATTCACATTATTTTGTTTAAGTCTATGACAGAATTCTGATGAATCTTTGATGTAGGAACTAGCACTAGTAGCAATTGGTGATAACAGTTTAGAAATATACTGTGCTGTATTATAGTACACTGATCCACGAGAACATGTTAACAGTCTAATTTTGATAGGGTCTTTGTGGATTTTAACTTGTACTCTAAATTAACATCTGACATATTTTCTTTGTAAACGGTGTTCAGATCACGTGAGCTCAGCTTATTGACCAATCAAGTTGTTATCGAAGTGATCTGCACTCTGCAGTGATTCTGACTTCAATAAAAAATCAAAACAAACTGACAAGGGAGACAACACACAAACGTATCTAGAAGAAATCTCAAGGTTCGTACACCGACGTAGCCTGTTAGAAGACGAGTTATGACATAATAAGACTTTTGGCCGGCCGAAAAAAAATATTATGTCACATCATTGTGAATGTGAGAGTAAAGTAGCTAGAGTATTACCGCTGCCACTCCCCAGGCAAAATTTCCTTCATAGCAAACTGTATGGTGTATGCACGTCATCATGAGCCCAGTCGGAGCAGAACCGTGGGACTTTAAACCCCATTTCATTTCATTTCATATTTTTCTTACCAATACACAAAGTCTATTATTTGTGAAATTCATAGAAATTGACTGTATACTAAATAGGGACGAAAGATGCACCCTACACCCCTATGTAAAACGTTATTTCATTTGTAAATGCTGAATCAAAGTATGAGTACTCTGTATTACGTGGGCTTGCTGAAAAGATATAAGACTATCTATGAAAGCCCCTTGCAGACGATGTTGCAAGTACTGAATGCTGGTCAAATGGAAGACATTTTCTTCAGCCACCCTAAAAATGTCTTTCACAGCTGGCATGACGTCATCAATTAAAATGACAACCGGCTATTTCCCTTTTTCATTTTTGGAAATAGATGGAAGTTTGACGGGGTCAGATCTGGCCAAAAATGATCAGGATTTGCTTCAATACGGCACAGGGTATCACGGGACATTGATAATCTGACACGTTTCTGATCCACAGTCAAGAGCTTTGGCACTCATCCTTTGTCATTCTTAACTCGTTGGCAATAATTTGCTCAACCCACGCATGAGAGATGCCGTTTGGACCCGCAGCCTATTGCGCCCGACCGTGCCGCCTCCGAGATCCAACGACGAGCTGTTTAATTTCAGCAATATGGAAGGGTATGGCTGCTAACATTAAATGCTCTGCTAAAATGTCTTTATAACAATCGTACGAGCCAGTCTGTTGAGCCGTGTAACACTGGAATGTTTCGGGTCTATCGGGGAGCCGAGTAATGAATCTCCACACCGCCGACCGCCGCGAACTGTGAGCAGGTGCCGAGTATCCCAGGGCCGGCCTCCCTCCACCCAGTCTAATGGAAATTTGCAGAAAGCTTAATATCGACTCATCCTATCATAACTCCAATTGATACTTCCCACCAAATTTGAAAGAAATCACGCGCACTTGATCTTGCCTGCTCTTATTTCGAATTCCATCTGTCAAATGTTATTTTACAGGCCATGTTTTATTTTGTTTCGGGTAACACTATTGTTATCTGTAGGCTAGAGTAGACTCTACCAAATTATTTACACTAGCCTACATTTGACCTCGCCCATTGTGCTATGTGGGCTATTATACCCAGACAGCGGTGCTATAGACTAAACTTATTTTGAATTCCAACTGCCAAGGGATCTTATATACGGAACCTCGGTTTGTCGTCCCATCCTAACAACTGCACGTTTCCCTTGTTTGACCCTCCGTCCTACACCACTGACCTCCGAGTTAGCGAGACAACTTCTTTCTCACTGAGACACCGTGGCTCTAATATATATACATAGACATTTCAAATGAAAGAAAACTCCAATGAATTGATCCGAGTTCTAGCTATATGTCCACTGGGCTGCACAGTCTCGGGCCTATATTATAAATTAATATATTGTTATTTATACAGTATAGGCTTCACTTAAAATGAAAACAAACTAAGAATAATGTAAACAACTCAAAAAAAGGGGAATATTTCCGGAACTTTGTATCATATTGGCGTGTCATGATCGGCTATGTGCTACAATAAACCTCAATGGTCAGCATCTTGTTGAAAATATGCAACCAGTCTTGACTCCAGTCGTCGGCTAAATCAAGTTGCAGCGTCAAAAGCGCCCACAATAATAATTGAGATAATCCACTTATATAGTATGAATTTTTCTTTTTTGCTATAATCAGATACAATATGTGAATATTTAAAAGAGCGCAAAGTATCTACATCATATTGTACGCAGGTCTAATTTAGTAAAGATAAGAGAACCTACTGGGGATGAATCATTTATATTTTCTAAGATGTAATTTTTATAATGTTAATTAAACATCTAAAAGGATAGCGGTTCCTAAGTGGTGTTATTTTTTTCAGACACCCTAAACAAAGTCGTTCACAGCTGGCATGACGTCATCATTATTAATAAAATGACAACCGGCTAGTTCCCTTTTCATTTTTAGAAATAGGTGGAATTTTTACGGGGTCAGATTTGGCCTCAAAACGGCGCAGATTGTCAAGGGACATCGGGAATCCGACACATGTCTGATCCCCAGTCAAGAGCTTTAGCACCCATCATTTGTCATCCCTAACTCGTTGTCGCTAATATGCTCAAACCTCTGCTAAAATGTCTTTTCGAATGATTATTGGCCTTAAAGGTATTTTGACTACTGGTATTATGAATGTGTACGTTTTACATACAATCAACTGAAAATACATTTTAGCAGAGCAATTAATGTTGACAACGATACTTTCCATACAGCGGCTCCGATATATGCCATGCCATTGATTTGCCGAAGCTTGACCTCAAATAGTTCTTCGCGTAATCTTTTAAATTACGCACATTCCGGCAGCTGCAACTACGAAAATGCCCCGTCGCATTACTTTTCGTCACTACCTCCCCGTGTCGGGATTGGGTACGTTGCACACCTGCGCCCCACCCAGTCTAACGGAAAGTTGCAGAAATCTTAATATCGATAGGGCTCATCCTCTTATGACTCCAACTGATACTTCGGACCAAATTTGAAAAAAATCTGTTAAAACCTATAGCGATCTCAGAAAAAAGATGGCATGACGTCACGCGCACTTGATCCGGCCTGCTCTTACTTCCATTTCCAACTGTCAAGGATTATTTTACGTGGACGACAATGTGTACACGGAACTCGGGTTTTCGTCCTATCCTAAAAATTAGACGTTGTCCCTCGCAAGGCCCTCTGTCTATGTTGGTTAAAATAAATAAAACTGTTGACTTACCATCAAATTTTACTTGGTAACTATCACTATAAAATAAACACACAAAATAAACGGTCATAATATTAAATAAAAGGCTAATTTTAATATTCTTTATTATAAATAAGACGTTAATATTAAAATTCTTTTAATAAAAGGATAATATTAATATTCTTTATAATAAAAAAAGAAATATTAACATTCTTTATTGCATGTAAAGGGCTAACATATTGAATTTTTTTATTATAATTAAAAGGCTAATGTATATTCTTTATTATAAATAGAAGGCTAATATCAATATTCTTTATTTCAAATAAAAGGGTAATATTAACATTCTTTCTTTTCATGTAAATAAGAAGTATTGTTACCTTTCAGGTGGAAATAGCAGTTGTGGCGGTGATGGCAGTCGTCTCTGTGGCATAAAATGAGAAAATGTACATTAGTACATGTACACATATTATCATGCTGAATCCATGACAACTCGGATTAAAGAACCGTTGGACCAAACTAACAATCAATCGGACCATTATGACTACTCGGACCAATATGTTTTTTGAATAATTAAGTGTTGCTGTACCTTCGGTTGAATTACACGCCAAGACCAACCAGCCAAGATTGGACATTTCTCATTTGTTTAACTTATATGGTGGTCTGCTTTTAGCTTGTGTATATGAAAATTAAAATGTTGATGATACGCCCCTGTTAAGCTAATCCGCCTCAACAACTAATCCCTGAATATCTAAAGAACCGCTGTCTTTCGAAAGTTCAATATCAGATCGTTAAAATAAGCACACATATGATTGTTCGGTTTTGTTGCGCTTCTTTGCTTTGGGGTTTTTTTTGGTATTCATGGGAGAGGGGTGGGGTTCTTTACAGCAATTCATTAATTCAGATTTTAACTAGTCGGAGATTTGTTTATTCCCCGACCACGCGATCCCACGCAGATATTCATGGAATAGTTACTTACATTTATGTTCTGATTTCTTAGCCAATCACCCAAACTGATGAAATCTCCTCTGGGCTTAGCTGTAAGCAGTTTATTGCTTCCAAATAATTTTTCACAGTCATAGTCATCTTCCACTCCATTAAATACCACTTTAATGTATTTCTCATCAGTCTTAGACAGGTCAACTGACGTTTCAATAATATAGTGTGAACAAATCAGAAATATTGTAAATATTGTTTAGTTTTGAGTGAGCTGAATAAGTTTTCAAATAAACAATAAACAATAAAAAAAAATTGTTTAGTTTACGTTTCTCCTCTATAAAGTACTACCCACAAATTATAAACAGTAACCGCATTTGACCAAACAAAATGAAATTAGAAACAACCAAATAACCCCAAAAGCAAAGAAAAACCACATGATTTACAATAAATGTATGTGATTGGCTGTTTAATATACATAGGCAACCTCATCTAATCTGTCCATTAATAACCTATTATATCATATAATAATCAAATAATGTCCCATTCTATAAATTCCGTTCATTTCGCGAGGGGCGACCACGAAAGGGCCCTGTGGTGTTATATCCCCACTACCTCCGGTGTCGGGATTGGGTATGTTGCGCGTCTGATGCCGACCATCGCAAATTGCAAAGTCGTCGGGGATCCGGAAAGGCCCCGCGATCGGCACAGTTATTTTGAGTCCAACACCTGTCGCCTAGCCCAGCCGCTACTTTTGATCGCAGGCAAGGGCGATCTGATATAGATAATATATGCCGTTTCCCCTCTCGTTGAGAAACGAAAGGAACAGGCCTGAATTTAGCCTTGAGTATGATTACTGTTCGCTACACAATCCCAGACGAAGAGGGAGATCCTAAGACCAAGATGTCGTTGGGAGATCCCTCGCTAGACGCACAGAAGTAGCTAGATTAGCCGAGATTGTCGATGGGCAAGAAAGGACCTCTGGAACTCCGCGACGAATCGGGATCGCTCTGACACAACAGAGAAGGAGGTGACCGCGGAGATGCTAGTCGAGATCGCAGCTTCTGGTTTGCCGCGAAATGAATTTCCGCACCGCCGACAGCCTCGAACTATAACCAGGCGCCGAGTTTGCCCGGGTCGACCAGGCTCCACCCAATCTTGACGGAAAGTTGCAGAACGCTTAATACCTTTGGGGCTCATCCTCTCATGTCTTCAAAGCTTCCTACCAAACTTGAAAGAAATTTTAAAACCTGTCGAGTTCGAGATGTTTTCGGAAAAAGTATATAACTCTAGCGAATATTCCCCAGTTTTTCGTCACGTCTCTTTTCCAGACCATCTGTCTCATTTTGTTTAAATAAATAAAATTAGTGACTTACCATCAAAGTTTACATGGTCACTATCACTATAAAATAAAGACACAACATAAACGGTCATAATTTTAAATAAAAGGGTAATATTAAAAATCTTTATTTTAAATAAGCGTATTATTAAAGGGTAATATTCTTTATTTCAAATTATTATTAAAATTCTTTTTCTTATAAATAAAAGGTAATATTGGTATTCTTTATTTAAAAAAGGTGAGTTTAATATTCTTTATTTTAATTAAAGGTAATGTGGAAATTATTTATTTGTCATATGCAAATATTCTTACCTTTTATCTTGACCTGGAACTGGTGTCGGTGGTCTCTGTGGTATAAAATGAGAAATATTTTAAAATTGATGTGTTCAATCATTAGTATATAAATATATATATTATCATTCTTAATCCATGACAACTCCGATCAAAGACAACTGTGAGTGTGACCAAGACCAGTCGGGCCAAATAATATACCACTCGGACCATTCTAAAAGGCTGCTCGGACCAATATGTATTCGAAATAATTAAGTGTTGCTGGACCTCCGGTTTATTGGCAAACCAACAGGCAACACCAATCGGTCTATATTGCACATTTTCTTTTTTTATTGACTTACATAACGGCCTGCTTTTTGCTTGTGTATATGGAAATTAAAATGCTGAAGACAAGCCCCTGTGTCGTAATCAGTAACTCAAACACGAACTATGTGCTAATCCATCTTAAATATTTTATATTTTTGATAATCTTCCAGTCGCACCTAGTAGAAGAATCTTTGTCTTTCGATTGTTCAATTTTAGATCGTTGAAATAAGCACAAATATAATTTTTCGGCTTTTGTTGGGGCTTCTTTGGGGATTTTATTGGGGGTGGGGGTGTGCTGGGACTTCTTTACAGCAATTCGCTAATTGAGATTTTGTCTAGTCGGAGATTTGTTTCCGACCACGTGATCCTACACAGAATTTAAACAATAGTTACTTACACTTATGTTCAGATTTTCTAGCCAATCATCCAAACTGATAAATTCACGTTCGCGTTTAGCTGTTTGCAGTTTATATATATTGATTCCAGGTTCAGGTAACTTTTCACAGTCATAGTCATCTTCCACTCCATTAAATACCACTTTAATGTCTTTTTCATCAGTCGTAGACAGGTCAACTGACGTTTCAATAATATAGTTTCCCCAGAGGTCTCGTACTATAATCCCAGCTTTATAACATATCGTATCACCAACAACCAGATGTACAACGGATGGTCCTTCTTTTATACCATCGGTGCACAAATCAGGAATATTGTAAATACACCAACCATTTGATGTATAATTTATAACACAGTTATTTTTGGATACAACAGGAGTCCGTTTTCTATTATTTATATACAGCGTAAATTCAATATAATTGTACTTATGAACGTTTTTGTCTTTTACAGCGAGGTACAATTTGTTGCCATTTTTAAATACATGGTATTCAGCTTTATCTTTAATTACGTCAAATGGATATGGCTCATCACTCGATGAATCTGAATCCGGTCTTGTTCCAACATCTATCCATATCTTTTCACCATCAACAGTCCTCGAGAACACTGAAAAGGGTGAATAGAACAGGTTTAGTTTTGAGTCAGATGAACAAGTTTTCAAATAAACAATAAAAAAAATTCTTTAGTTTACGTTTCTCCTCTATTAAGTACTACCCATATAAACAATATAAACAGGTTTAGTATTAAGTCGGGTGCACACTGATTCAAACCGAAACAGATGGGACGAAAAACCGAGACCCCAGGTACAAGTAAAATATCCCTTGGCAGTTGAAATTCAATATGAGTAGGCTGTAGTGCCGCTGTCCCGGTACATTTCCCCCCATAGCAAGCTTTTATTTCGTTTTCAATTCAAATAATTAGTGAAACAAAAAATTGTTCAACGTGTAACTTTTCAATGAAATGTTATACCACTTTAATACTAAGATTTAATCTTATAATGTGTTACATAGTGTGAGTGAGAGACAGTGATAGGTAAAAGATTATAATTATCCTATGACCGCATGTGTAATAAACTCTCCACTGTTCTCTAATTGACCACACTATTGTTCATTTAATAAAGAACCAGATGCTGCCATATGTATAATGGTCAAGTTAGATAATCCGCTGATCACTAATGACGTTTACTAGCGTTAGCTGTCACACATCAATTGTTCTGAAGCCTGCCATATGCTTATAGTGAGATAATCTATCAATGACAAATGATTTAATTATGTAGTCTTTACATAAGTCCTTTTGTTCCATATTATTAATTACCCGTGTTATCAAAGTGAATTTAGTATAAATTGGCTTTGGTTTTTCATGTAAATGAGAACAGCTTTGGCGGCTGACCAGGTACGACTTTATAGTATATCTAGTATGCTAGAATAAAATGTTGCATCCAGATCATGTTTTATTTCTATTAACTCAAACTATGTTATAATCATAATTTGGTGACCGTGTCCAGCGAACAACTGTGGTTGTATGGAAAGATACAGAATAGAGTAGTGGCAGCCGAATTCTCTCCAGTTTGAACCAAGTACAGAACCAGTCAAAGTCAGAAAGGTACGTTAGCTTTGTTATTTGTTATTTTTCGTAAAAATGGCTGAACAAGGAGATGTTTCTGCGCTATTTCAAGGTTTAACTGGGGAGTTAAAAGGCTTGTCAACTACTTTAAAACACCATGGCGTTTCTCAGTTAGTTGAAACATATTCAGGGGAAAGACAAAATTTTGAAACTTGGATAAAAAGCATAGAGAAATATGCAATTTTAGCTGAAATTGCCATTGAAAAAGTGAAATTAATCGCTTATCAATCTAGTAAAGGTTCTGTTAGTGATTTTTTAAGTAGACATTTGGCCGACAATCCAAATTGTACTTGGGAACAATTATGTCATTAAAAATTCTATTCGAAATATACATATGCATTTCAATATTTCAAGCATTAAATTATGGAAACCATTAACAGTAGCCTTTCCAAATGTCACAATTCCACAGATTCCCTCTAAACTTAAAAACATTAAAAATATTCGTATTAAAGATTTAGTAAATCAACTGAGAAGTGTAAATAAGATAAGTGTTGACAAGCCATGGCCTCATTTAAGTTTTGTTGTAAGCGGTTTTGGAATACTTTTGGGAATAATTACTGGTATTTACTTACTAGTAAAATGTATTAAAAAAAGAAATGAGAAATCAGCCAAATTATACGAAAATAACAAAGAAGTCAGAGCAACGTATTCTGCTCTGACCGAGATGGTGTCGGCGAAGACCGAGGGCGAAATTACGCTACAAGGAGAAGATATTAGCTCCACACCACCAAAAGAAAAGTTAATTTATCCTACGTTAACTTTGTCGTAAGAGGAAGAAAATTGATACAGATGATATACGGAACAAACTGGCTGTTCCAGTTATAGGAAATATAAATAGTTCCTGTTGAATCAACGTTGAACGGGCTTGTATATAGAAGATCTGAATAGATGTGCCGATAATTTTGTGGATCCTGTTGTTGCTGTTGTGTGTGTTTTATTTTATTCCGTGGATAATTAGTGTACACTGTGAACTATTAATGTGTTAAAATTGGATCATCATTATAACAATTTTTCAGAGGAACTTTTCAAATAATTTTATATATATATATATTACTTTTTTATATCCATTAAGGATAGGGTGATTATATTTTTTTTGTTTGTTTCACAAACTGTTGGCAATGGAGGTATTGTTACATAGTGTGAGTGAGAGACAGTGATAGGTAAAAGATTATAATTATCCTATGACCGCATGTGTAATAAACTCTCCACTGTTCTCTAATTGACCACACTATTGTTCATTTAATAAAGAACCAGATGCTGCCATATGTATAATGGTCAAGTTAGATAATCCGCTGATCACTAATGACGTTTACTAGCGTTAGCTGTCACACATCAATTGTTCTGAAGCCTGCCATATGCTTATAGTGAGATAATCTATCAATGACAAATGATTTAATTATGTAGTCTTTACATAAGTCCTTTTGTTCCATATTATTAATTACCCGTGTTATCAAAGTGAATTTAGTATAAATTGGCTTTGGTTTTTCATGTAAATGAGAACAGCTTTGGCGGCTGACCAGGTACGACTTTATAGTATATCTAGTATGCTAGAATAAAATGTTGCATCCAGATCATGTTTTATTTCTATTAACTCAAACTATGTTATAAATGGCCACAAAAAATTATATCTAGTGTAAATAGTATATGCTAAGACATGTTTGCTACTCACTCTGTACTGTCGCTGACAACTTGAATAAGGTGCGCCTTCGAAGATCTGCTTTCAATGAAATATTGATAAGACTTGAATAAATATATATATTTTATTCCCACTAGTAGGCGTGTCGTGGTGTTCTTTAACCAATCAATATCTCGTTGAAATCCAGTCGTCGATATCTACAATACGTTTTAATAATGTAACAAGTTGTAATAGTTTTATGTTAGCAATCACAATTACTAATACCGTAGTTCTGAGGTAAGAAAAACTAAATTCCTAAGATTCGGGATAAATAGGAACCGTGTTAATTTTGGGCATCACCATCAAAGATTCTCGTGCGTAAAGCATATAACGCACGTGATACACCAACTTATTTTATTGACATCTGAACGTACGCCGTATCTAGTGCTATGGGGGTGGGGGGGGCATTACAACGTGCTACATCCTACGGTTATCTTGCATTCCCAACTGTCACTAGACACTATCCTTGTCAGGTAAGTTTCGCAGAATCGAATCCCGGACCTCGTAGTCAGCGAGCCAACGTTTTACTCACTGGGCCACATCGGCTCCCATTTTATGGACGAATTGATTTGGAAAGTGAAGGGGCAAGGTTTAAAACAAAAACAAAAAGGCCGAAAGGGATGAATTAATGAGAATTATTTCGCCTTTAGATCTATGTTCTGACAGATAATAGTGCCTGGTGAATGTTATGTAAGGCGGGAAATATTTTCATGCACCATGAATATCAACATGATTCAGTCAAGGGAATGTTTAAATTGCTCGAATTCCATTTGATAAATTTGACTAGCTTTTACATGGCGGGTGTTGAACTAATATTAAATGTTTTCTTTCCCTATTTCAGCGCCCAGCATTACATTTATACATTACCAAAAACCAGACGTCAAGTGGTGATCCAGTCTGTAAATCCTATCATTTTAAACATTTATCAAGAAATATGTCAAACTTTAATACACCCTTTAAAGACTATAATAAGAATATGTTACCTGGCGATTACCAACATATCCGTGTACAAAAATTTATTGAAAGCAATGCCGAAAGAGTTGTTCAGATAACCTACAAGGATTCGTATGGAAGTGGCATTGTTTTTAAATTTGGAGATCAGTTATGTATTCAAACCAATTATCATGTTGTCCGGAAAGCACATCCGAATTGTCTTAAAATTGGAATTAATATTGGAGACAAGGCCTACAAAATCGATACCTATTGGGGAGGGTGTCAAAGGCACGATATGGTTGTACTAGAGTTAAAACATGGCCCAAAACAGTTACGAAAGCTTGCAATTACCGATATTAATCAACAAGTTGTAGATATAACTGTCGACGGAAACTCATTTAAAGGTTTAGTGGAATATCATAGAGGCGAACATCGTTTTGTTGTGCATGCTTTGAAGTTCATGCAAAGACGATTAGACCAAGATACCGAGATTACCTGTAAATTTATGAATGTTGATGAGCCAGTAACCTGTCATATGCGAGATGTCTGCTACTGTAGTGAAACCGGTTGTGCTATAATCTTCCTAGACTCGAGCAAAATACCAGATGGTGCGAAAAGTATCTTTAAAAGTCAGACGTTTTGGGAGACAGTACAAAACCCTTTAGTTGTTGTTTTATCTCACCCCGTTGGCAAAGTCAAACATATCAGTACCGGTTATGTCATGCAAGAGGAATGCGACAGGAATGATTTTCCCCAGTACAAACCATCAGAAAAAGTTTGTTTCAAAATTGAGGGAGGTAATGAGAAGTGCCATCTTGGTGACAAAATAGGGATCAGTAAGAATACTGAACGGAGGGGACGTGCATTGGATCATCAGTCTGCCAGTAATCCTGGGATTTATTCATCAACTACAGAACGGAAAAGTAACAAACATGGAGACGAACTTGTTGGTAAAGCCGTAGGCTTACCCTTTGGAACAAAATATTTCTTTGTCAATAATAACGGAGATCATGTTACGTTTCCGACTATCCAAGATGTGACATCTTACTTCTCATGTAGTGGTTACGATACCAAAAATTCTCCTGTCAACAGAGACGATAACAGAAAATATTTCTACATCAGAGAAGGGAGAGTTTATTGTCGTTCCACAAACGGTCCTCCAATGGAAGTTTTGTCCGGAAGTGAACAGTTCTTCAAAGTGGCAATAAATGGAAATACAGTGTTACCCAATTCGTGGACGGACAGAGAACAAAAACCAATAACATGTCCATTATTGGAAGAGAGTAGAGTTGGATATCTAAAAAAAGATACAAATTCTAGTTACATTTTAGGCTTTAATGTTTACAGGATTAAAGATAAGGTATATTTTCCAGGAAAGACCGAGAATGACCCCGATCCTGTTTATTTCCTCGTTGGTCGAGATGGAATGGTAGCTAGCAGGGATAAGGATGATCAAGATATGTTTGTCCAGACAGACATGGATGGGAATAAAGGATTTTTCAGGGTAGATTCAGAAGGTTACAAGATGTGTGTTTATGAACCCGAGAGAGCTCGATTTCTATTGGAGGAAGATTCCGATGGTACTAGAGTGTACATTAAAGAGGCCGACGATAACAAGATACGATATTTTACGGAAAAAATACAGGACTTTCAGAGGGATCAAGATGGTAGTCGTATCTTTCGACGAACAGACACCAAAGACGATGAAAACGTATATTACAGAAACAAGAAAGGCAAAAACAACCCATTCCAGATTGATTCGGAAAATAATAAGATGTATCTGCAGATCGATTACAACAACAAGAAACTGTACACCATGAAAGATGCCAATGGTGATGATAAATTTGTGGAGATACATAAAGTTATCCATTTAAACCATAATGCTGAAACTGCACCAGGTTCTAGTGGTGGATGTGTTCTCGTTATAGGCAAAGATGAAAAACATAAGCATCAATGTCTGGTCTGTATGCATAAAGGAAAAACTGAAAACCCACATGTAAATAAAGCGATAACTTATCGTCTTGGGAAATAAGAAAACGAGGAATATCATGTTTGTCTACTACATGATACTAATAAACTTATCTAAACTACATATTCCTATGTATTGACCAATCTAAATTGTATCAAAGTTTGTCTTTTCATTACGTTGAATCAAATTATGTTTTTTTTATTATGCAGATGTGCCAAACCGAAACTTTAGTTAAAGTTGGCAAACAATAATAATTTATATAAAATTATATATTTCGTTATATTTCTTTTTCACTGTTATTTCTTAGATGAACAAAAAAAAATCGCTTTTAATGGAAATATGCATAGTTTGCTTATATTGGGTGGTGGCAGGTTCGCTGTGCAATGCATCGGGGGGGGGGGGGGGGTGTTGAACCTGGACTTCCAATATTACATATAAACATAGACTTGAATGGGGTATTAACTATCTTTATACAACACAAGCTAGGTCGGTGGACCCAGGTGAATTTATGAGACCAGGTATTTGTAGAGCAGTTTGTTTTGCGTACATTTCGATTCTGGGTGGTAATCAGGTGTTTCGCAAGATTGATATTTGGAGATTTGTATTTGGAATCTCTATATTAAAATGCAATTAAATTAAAGAAAAATACAATTTACAAATCTGATATGACAAATGTCTGATTTGTAAAACAAATGTTGACTTTACGTTTAAGATACAAATTTTAATTTTAGTATACAAATGTCGAAATGGAATGAAATGAAATGGGATTTAACGTCCTACTGTTTTGCTCCGAACTGGGCTAATGAAGACGGGCATACGCCATACAGTGTGCTATGAGGGAAATGTGGCCCGGGCAGCGGCACTATCGCCTAATCTTATATCGAATTCCAACTGCCAAGATATCTTTTACTTGCATTCCAATGTATACACGGGACCTCTATCTTTCGTCTCATCCGAATGGGGCCGGGGGTATATAACCCATGATCTACCCTGTAGTTCAATGCAGCCTTTAGTTCGGATATAGTCTCTAAACCATGATGTACCCTGATCTAGGTCATTTCGGGACTAACACATGGTTCAATTTTATTTCAACGATTCGCTTGCGCGTAAGCGTCTTTAGCAGTTGGAGGAATCCGGAGGACCTGGAGAAAACCCACGAGGTTGAACTCGTGACTCTACTCCTTGTCACGTACAACCGGGGAATCGATACCACGCCAAGTGACTTAATTATTGTATAATTATTTATTTAATATTGTTTTCATTTGAAGATTTATTACGTCTACTGAATGGAATTGTGTATGCTGTTTATAAAAATCTTTTATAGGAATTTGCGTCATTACAGTCCAATTCTTTTCTTGGTCAAAATGCCTTATAAAAACAACTTTCGTGTATTTTCCCAAGGTGCATCTGTCTTGCAAGGTTTTCCAGAAATCAGTTAAAATATTTAATAAATTTGGAGTCTCCACGACTTCGTTTATCAAGTCTTTAAAGCATTTCCTAGTTTTAATATTACGACCTTATAGATGGATTGCTGTCTTGTGTTATTATTTATGGCTCTAGGTGGACAAAGATGTAATCGTCGCTGTTGCTTTATGCTCTATAAATAATTTCTTGGCCACTTCCGTCAGCATAAATGGGAGAATTGGAGATTACTGGTGTTGATGGTATCTGTGTTGCAGATAACGATTTTAAATTACTGATCATAGTCGCCGATGTGTTAGTCTAAAGTTGATGCGGTGTCAATTCCTGTTGTCGACGATGTATCGATTCCTGAATAGAGTTAATCATTTCCAAAAGTTGGCGATGCATTAATCCGTGTAGATTGTTGAATTGTTGTTGAAGGAATAAATACTAAAGCTTGAGTTGTTATCTTCTTTACGAGTTGTATCTGTATATCGCGATATCTTCAGCTTTGAAGTCGACTTGTCGACGCATGTTCCTTTTCCTTTTTGACTTTTTGAAATTTTCTAAATGGCTGGAGTTATCAGTTGTGTCAGCATGGATTCTTTTCTTTTTGACAAAACACATGCTAATTTAATCATTAGTTTGATGAGTTCTCAGAATTTTAATTTGTTTTTTGTCTGTCTAAATTTAGGGAGGTGGGACCTGTAAATCTGTAAATGATGTGATTCTATGGTAAAGGATTAAAACTTTCTGAAATGATACATTGTAGACTAGGCACTTGACTAGTACTGGTGGTGATCTTGGTAGATAACTGTCATCATGCTGTAATAGATTTAATCTCAGCTCAGCTACCCATACGTACGCGGCGCGAAATTCTCCCAGAACTCTAAAACTACATTGACACAACGTGACGATACGGATAGGAAAAATTCAGCTTGCCAAAAGTCTCTAATGGGTGAACGCGTGGATAGTTTTATTGTCAGCTCAATATTTTTAACACGGATCAGGCCCGCAATGCGGGAAATTTTGCGGCAACATTACTATAATCTTGCTTTGCATACTGCACTCAATGGTTTTTCGTGTCATCCGTGAACTAGTGACCCGCGTCATTAAAGTAGACGGCGCAAATTAGTCGTTTCGTCTATATCCTCTTAGAAACTCACCCAAATCATATACGGTTGAATGATACCTGTCTGTTAGTGGAATTTAAAATGGACAACCCTTTTTCCAAATGGG